AAATCCGGCTGAGCCAACCCAATACAACAGGTCTCCCTGGACGCTGAGCATTGCTCACAACTCTCTGAGAGTGGTTATCTAGCTAATTCCTCATCCACTGAGTGGTCCATCTCTTGAATCCATGTCTTTCCAATTTAGAGACCAGAATGTCACACAGGACAGTGTCAAATTCTTTGCACAAGTCCAGGAAGATTATGTCAGTTGCTCTTCCCTTATCCACCAACAACATAACCCCATCATAAAAGGTCACCTTTTTTGTCAGGCAGAATTTGCCCTTGGTTTCAGGATTCATTCGCACACTCTTGTCATTTCTAAAAGCCATCATGTCAAACATTTGTGAAAGGAAGAAAAATAAACCAAAGTGAGCTGTGGTGGCAATTTTCCCATTCGCAGTTTGATAAGGAGAGACGAAAACAGATGCTTTGCAATCACAGCAGATTTGTTGCTTCATTCTTTTGTGTCCTATCGGTTCCTGATTCCTTTCTCTTCCCAAATGATGCTGCCCCTACATTGCTATGTTCTGGAGTTCTTTGCTGAGCCACAGCCTAAGAGAAGAGAGGAGAAAAGAGGAAAAAATGCCTAGTTTGACTGCAGCTCACAGAAGGAAAATCACCATTTGGTCTGTGTTGGCAGCAAGCACTGTATAAGCCTGGTCTCCACAAACTGGCTGAGAGTGGACCAAAAAAGCAGCCATGGCCTGGGAAGGGAAAGGGTCTTCCTGAGCCCAGGGGGAAGCAAAGGCATCAATCTGATGTCCCAACTTCTACAAGAAAAATGCTTCACACCTCGAGGAGCAAACCCCATCCCAAGAGGCCTGAAAACACCCAAGGCCGGCTGCATTACTACACCTTCTTTTACCTCCAGTGAATGTAAGGAACTCCAGCAGAACTGAGGGAAGCAACCTGATGTACAGGAGGGGAAGACCTCATACACAGGCTAGTCCGACAAACCCCTTGTAAGCCCACACCTTTTCTCACTCCCTGACGTTTGTGAAACATCCCCATGCCTTTGAAGGAGAGTGCTTTCACTTAGTCAGGGATGGTTTGGGTGAAACACATCATCTGCAAACATCTCCAGGTGTGCCCAAGCCATCTGCCATCTATTCTGCTTGCCCTAGGGCAACTGCTGTGGTTGCTTCAATGCATCTTACACCACATTGCTTCAATGCGTCATGGTGTAAGCTCTGTACCAAACTGAGGAGCAGGCCACAGTGGAGGTTCTGAGTCTGCAAAGCAGAGCGGAGTCATAGAGAGGGAATCAATCTCTACATATTGTATAAGCGACCTTCATTTGTAAACATCCCATATGACATGCCTTTTCTGTTAACACTCAATGTGGAGATCAGCTGTTGGAGCTACATCTATGTTACTCTTTACACACTGGTGGAGGAAGCTGTAGAGCTGTTCTGGTTGGTAGGTGTGGGGGCAGATCATGCTGTGCTGGTCCTCCTGTTTTTACTCACCTGGTCTAGCAGCTCTTCTGACCTTGGCACCCTCCATGCAGCTCTGCAGTGCTAAACAGGAGCCAACACATGCTCGTTTACTGCTTTTCACAAATACAGACAAGCTCTGTTCTGTGAGGTCATATAATTACTACATCAAGATATAGCATTTTTTGGGTGCCTGTTATTCAGACGTGACATGGTTTTCATAATGAAATAAGCCGGTTTAAAGTCATTTTGGCACATATTAAATGTTTGTGATACACTTCATGAAAGAGGCATTAAAAAATTTATATCAGGGAGTAAAAAAAAAATCGAGTTGTTTTCCATATGTGCAGGCAAGCCTATATACATATGTTCCATGTATGATGGCCATTATATCCCCACAGCTGTTAATAGATTGGAACTAATTAGACAGAGATATGCTAGTGTGTGTGCCAACTGACAGTCTGGTGATGTACCTACCATTACTGTATCTTTTCCTCCTGGGAAATTCAAAGCATTATGCTCTTTGTACAGCTGTGCCCTATTTATATTCTAAGCTTCTGGCCTGACTAATCACCCCCCATTAAACTCCCATTTTCTTCACGAGTCGCACATTTTCCAGATCAAACCCTGTGTCTTAATCATGCAACAGACTGAGCTCAGAAATACATCTGCGTACAGTGATGGAAGTGAGGGAAAGGCAGAACTGAATTGCGTAGGTCCCCTAAGTCTCTGACAGTATGTTTAGATACACACTTAACAAAGGTACTGAAAAATAGATGTCCCTTGTCTCAAGAATCCTGCAGGGGTGCTGCAGCTGCCAGGGAGCCTTGGAAGAAATTCTCCGGACAATGCAATGCAGTACAGCAGTATTTCTGCCAAAAAAAGTGCATCAGCCCATGGAATTTAGTAGAGAAATGACAGACTGCTAATTAACAAAAAAAAAATTAGTCACAATTACAGCAATGAGTAAAAAATCAGTGATAAATGCAGAGGGCTGCAGAGTAATTGATTGAGATTCCTCTATGTTTCAGCCCTAAACAAGTCTGCAGACTTGTCTCTTACAGGAGCATGGAAATGACGAGCCTCAGGAGGATTTGAAAGGCTATCTACAGCATCTCTCTCTGCAAAAAGAAGGGAAATCTCCTTTTGCCCTTCTGGGCACATCTCTGTCTAACAAACAGTTAATTTTGCCCCTTGGATTTCTGGCAGACTTGAGCTGAGACCACCTCTCTGTTTCACGTGACAACTCAGGGTCAATATTACACAGGCCAGGTCTGCTGTGGTTAAGCAAAGAATGGCTTTCAGGGTGAATTCAGCAGCAGATGTAGCTGTAACACAGGCTACATTGCATTTGCAAAGAGCTGTGTTCCGACACAGCCTTGTCCCCTGCGCATGTGAATAGAGCAGCCACGGGGAAGTAGCAGAGAGATCACAGTTTTATAAGCATGCTTTCCACCTAAATCCACTGCTGAAATACTCCCAACCCTTCGACTCTCAGCCTTAGCTCCTCTTTTTCACTAGATCAAAGGACTGGTACCCAGAATACTGAGCTGTAATTTGCCTCTGTCAATGAATCAGTAGAACTAATATGATGTATTTAACCTCAAATGTTGCTGAATTTTCATAACGATCTGTTAGAGTGATTACTATTGTCATGTTCCTGATGTGTCCAGGATGAGGGGAGAGTCAGCAATAGACCCTGAAGAGGCACAAGGAAAGCAGAGGCAGATTTTTCCTGGATTTCTTTATCTATTCAGTTGAATTACACTTTATTACTTGGACACATAATTCTCACTAAGACATATTTTAAGCAAGACATTTTATTACATATTGTCATACATTTATAAATTATTACATAACACCACTTCTTCTATAGAAGTCCAATGCTTAGATTCTCAAGAACAAGTTGGCACTGGCAAAGTGTGTGTCTACATCTGCTTGCAGACAGTAAACTGTTGCCAATAGTTTTTAAAACATATACAAAAACATTTCTCTGAATCTTAGCTGTTCCACTCCCCCATATTTTTAACTATTCTTAGTGTAACTTGATCTGATGGTGTGCCTTTAAACTGCAAAATCTAGTCTCTGAGCAGTCAAAGGACAGACCATACTCACTGCCCTTTAATGGTAAGGAGAAGCTGCCCACACTGCAACTCCCTTTGCACATCCCACCTCACGCTGGTGATGCTAGATGGAACCTTTACCTGACAAGTTTCTCATCTTTTCCATCCGTAACAGCTACACGGGTGCTTTTTTTTTCTTTTTTTTTCTTTAAGGAGGGAAAAAAAAAAGAAAAGTAGCTCCTCTAAAAGGAAAGAGGAAGCCAGAAATTTTGTAGCGTCTCAGTTGTGCCCCATGATGCTTCTTCCTGTCTGTGAATTTCCACCTGCCCCTTCTGCATATATAAGGCAGCACACGTGGGGTAGAACTGTTTAGTCGCCTGCCTCTGTCCAAGGGATTAGTAGCAGCGGGGAGTGATGCTGTTTTGTTTTTCCTCTACAGTCTGCGGGACGTGAAGGAGCTCTGGCTGGACTCACTCCTTGGGTAAGTACTGCCTGGGATAAAATCGGTGGCATCGCGGTTGAAGTTCATGGAGTGCTCCAGACGCAGTTGTACAGAGATGTCCAAAAATACAGGCAGGGGAGATGTGCGCCCACTGCTAGGTGTAGCTCATGGGCAGAGCTGACTGAGTCGCTTAGCCTTGTGTTGGCAGATTGACAACCATATGTAGCTGTCACCACTTGCTCATTTTTTGCATGAATTAAAAATGGAAAGCTGCTTTTTTCCCCCTGTTTTAATCAAAATGCAGATAGGGAAGCAGAGCTGAGTGCTTTCCAGAGAATGGCTTTATGATTGACTTGTGTGGGATATCTTGCTAGTTCAGGATCACACTTAAATGCTAGACTGGCTTGCAGGGGAGAAAGACAAGAAGGGTGCAGTTTTACAAAGCTCTTTCTTTGTCTGTTCTCTGTTTGATAAACAGACAAACAAAAGGACAGAAGGAAAGCAGAGTGTCCAGAGCTCCTCCGATCAAACTCCTAATGAAAGTGTTAAGCAGCTGTAATGCTGTGAGTGTCTTTATTGTTTCATCTCTATCAACAGAGTGATTTCAAAAAGCTCTGATTTCTAACCCGTAGCATTCAGTTACTCACATAGCGTCTTTGTTTTCTTGCCTAGTCAAAGACATTAAATGCTGGGAACATGGAGAGTCTGATTGAGTGTCAGTCAGAGGTAAGCAGCTGCTACATTTCTCCCCATCCTTCTTGGGTACCGATGTGAGATATCTTAGCACAGAGGGAGGGGGTCCCTGTAGGAGCTGCCGGCTGCCTACCATTGCCCATGAGTGGGCAGAGCCCTTCAGAGGCAACTCTCTGCAGCATCGCACCAAGGGAGCTGGGCATCGCTGTGAGCAGCCTGCGCGTTCCCCGGGCTCCAGGGAGCTTTGCTCAGGAATCTGGAAGGCTCCAAAGCCATCAAGGCTCCCCAGAGGACTTTGTGAGGAAATCTCCAGTGCCAGGGGAGGACACAGCAAAGCAGGTTGTGTCTGGCTGCAGCTTGTCTTGATCAAAAGAGCAGCCTGAAAGAACATGGGCTTGTGACCAGTGACTGGCAGCAGAATTTACCACAAACCCAACTGTTGGGCAGTGAGGCGGTGGCACTCCTAGACTGAGGCACCCCTTCAGGAGGTGTTGGGCTTGCTCTGGTTATTCCCTGGAGCCTCCCACAGATTTCTGAGGAGCTGCAGTGACTCACTGGTGGCTCTCACTGCTAGTGGCAGCTCTGTAACACTGACATGCTTCTTGCAGGCTGGTGCCAAGAAATGCTCCCCAGCAGTCCCAGCAGATACTGAAGATGGACTTTGCCACTCAGCTGGTGAGTTTTAAAAACAAACTGAGGAACTGCCTTATATAATGCTTGCAAACTGGTGCTTCTGCAAAACCACCCAAAACTGCCTGCTTCATCTCCTTGAGAGCAATCCACAGCTCTCATCACCATCCAGCAGATTGCTTAAGCCCTGGAGTGCCACTCACTCGCAGATGATTTCTTTCCCTTATGCTTGGTAGCAGAGGTGACAGTGCTGAGTGCCAGAGGTCTGGTATCCCTGGTCCCTGGTCCTCAGAGACACATTTTATTGTGCTCCCTGGCAGTGGCGGGAAGTAAATGTGGTCCTTTCTCACTCACCACTGAGGTGTGGCACTGCAAAGGAGTACCGCCACCGGTGGTTACAGCCAGAGCAAACAAACTCTCTTGGCAGCAGCAATAGTGCTTGTAAACAACCTGTAACACCTGTAAACAACCTGGAGTAGACCATTAGCAAAGCAGGGTCAGATTTGAATCGGACCATCATAAACAAACTTTTTATGTGACACTACAATGTTAGGTGACTTTCTCACAGCTTTTAGCTCCCACCTAGAAAGGATTTATGCTAAGCCACAAACTCAGGTCCTGAGAAGTGCATAGGACAACTTCATTTTGGAGTAGAAGGCAAGTTCTTTATAGGAAATTTGCAGAAGGCAGCTCCTTTTGAACGCTTTCTAGCAAAAAGGATCCTTCTCTCACTGTTTCTGAAAGGGGAAAAAGGCCACACCTCATCCTAATATAACCATCATCTCCAAATTCCTAGCATGCCCTCCTGTTTAAGACACAGATAAAAAAATCCATGCTAGGAGATTTCTGACCCTGAAGCCAATAAGACCCTACTGTAATGTTCCCATCCTCTGGAGCAAGTATCACCTTCCACAGGCACGCTGACAGGGTGCAAGCACTACTTCTAGTAGGACCGCTCTCATTGAAGCTGTCTTCAAAGCTGGCAGAGCTTTAGCCATGCATTTTCATTTCAGCCTGTTAAAGAGGCTGAAAAGCAGGAGCCTCTGGTTCTGCTCTTGCCCTAAGGCTGGAGCACAGTCAGACCGCATAGTGAAAATCGTTGTCATTGCCAACTGCCCAAGTGACATATCTGCCTTAGATAGTTATCGCAGAAACCACTGCAATATCAAAAATCTCTATAAATGCTGTTACTTCTCTGCCTTGTACGTTGCCACTCTCTAAGAAGAAACAATGACTCGAATGTAAAAAAAAACCACCCAAAAACAGGAAAGGTGGTGCCCTTAGAGGGATGGTCACCGTTTTACAGTTTAGGCGGTTGTTTCCTTAGTAACCACTTAGTTGTCTTTCAGTTTCTTGCTGTTTAGTTTGACTTGTTTCAACATACATCTCTGCATTGCACACAGATAAAAGGCCACGCAGTGCACTCTTGTTTTTTTTCAGAATTGTTTTTTTGCTGTCCTTTTCTTTGCAGCAGATGGAACAAAGAAAAGAAAGAAGGTGGTATCACAGTCGTTTACTCTGAGACGAAGCTCTGCCAATGGGAATTCCCCAGGGCAGCTAGACTTGGGTGCCAAAATCACTCTGTTTGGCCAGCCTCTGGCAATTATCTGTGGGGAAGATGACACACTGCCCCAACCAATCCAGGTAAGCAAGCCTGGCGATACAGTTATACATCTGGCTTCCATTGTGAAGCCGGAGCCCCTCTAGCTGTGCTGCAACACCCAGGAGATGAGTGATTTTGATGTTTGCCCTCCACATACACTTCTGATAAAGCTCTGGGGCCATCCCAGGTGTAGAAATTGTCACATCTGCAGGTTTTGTCCAGTCCATCCAAGGACAGTGGACAGTAGGAAGTACCTTTGAGTTACTTTGCATGGAGACAACCCAGGACCAGAAATCAGAGAAGATGATCTGCTCCTTAGTATAAACATCTGTGATTCTACAGAAGTAATTTAAATAAATCTTTCAGCAGCATAAACTTCCAAAGATTTATGTACTTCCCTGAAAAAACTGTTAGCTATGAACTGCCACCGACAAGTACCTAAACACTATCTTCTGGATTAAGATGGTCTTGTGACAGTTCTCCCATTGAGTTGGCTTTTCCAATAGACACTTTTGTGTCTTCTAAGCGATATTTGCCTGCCTTGGGAGGGAAGGAATTTGAAATAGGACTGAAGCCATCCTTTTTTTCCTTCTGGAAGGAAGAAGGGATGACTCCACTCAAGTCAGTGGAATTCACCAATCCAAAAAGACTGTTGGCTGGGGGAAAATCAGGTTATTGCCTATGTAATTTACTTGAAGCAAGTACTAGATACTGACCTAATTAGAGCATAGTGTACCTCCAGACAATTTTTCTTCTGTTTCTAAAGAAATGTCCACTTGCTAAAGGAACTTCCTTCACTCAAGTAATGGTTGTCCCATTCCTATCTGTTCTTTTTCTCTGCAGGATCTCCTAGCTATATTGTATATGAAAGGACCTTCCACGGAAGGGATATTCAGAAAAGCAGCCAACGAGAAAGCACGAAAGGAGTTGAAGGAGGACCTAAACAAAGGCAGCAATGTTGATTTGAAAAACAAATCTGTGCACCTGCTAGCAGTGGTCTTGAAGGTGAGCTCTTCTGACTTGCAGCAATGGGAGAACATTGCTAATCTGCACAGGCCCACTTCAGTTTCTAGAGCTGACATAGGTGGGACTCCAGGCTAAAGCTAGAGTAAAGCCTGACTAAATGTTTCAGGCTTGGGAGAGTTTGGCATTTTCCTCTTCCACCTGATTTCCAATCTCACTTCTTGTGCTGCTCATTTCCTACATGCCCACAGGAAACTCACTTTTGTCCTCCTCCTCCCACTGGAGGAATACTGAGATTCATGGGTGAACAAAAACCAGCTAAGAGCTGGGTCCTCTTGTTACCCCAGTTCAGTCATACTTGGCATATTCTTGTGCACTGCACTGCTCTGACAGTGCTGATCATCAGGTAGCTCAAGACAACCTGCCTCCTAGTGAGCCCATTGTCCTGATGACAGTGATGCTCCCTCTATGCACAGGGGTAGTGTCCAAAGCCTCAACCAAATCTCTTGGCCTTGCAGGACTTCCTACGAAATATTCCCTCCAAACTCCTGTGGGCTGACCTCTATGAGAAGTGGATGCAAGCTCTGGAGAAGCCAAGCAAGCAGGAAAAAATTGAAGAATTGAAAGAGTAAGTTTTGCAAGCAGGAAGTTTTGCAATCAGCCACAGTGTGATGGAGTGGCTGGTAGAGGCCAATGATGTTTCTCATAACTGGGTGCCTCATTTAAAAGCTCGTCATTTATATCAGCTTGTTGTTGCTCCATGGGGTTTGGTTCAGGGGGCTCCAAGAGCTGCACTTCCTGAAATTATGTGAGATTGCCCTATGAAATGACTCATGTAGGAATAGGAGAGAGGCTGCAGTGCCTCAGCTAACGCAGTCACGCTGCTGTGGGAC